AGCCCCGCTGTATCTGAGTTGTCAGTCTCTAAACAGTGACAAGTTTACATCTGTCTAATAAAGTTGTGGACTTTTTTTCCTCGAGGTTTTCTTTACAACTGAAGCTGTTGCTGCTGTTGGCAATGATAAATTAGGACAGAGCGGTTGGCATACTTTAAATGGTAGAGCTTAATCCTGAGGATTGGGCCAACAGAAACTTTGGGCAGTTCAACAAGGGAAGTGCATATTTTCATGCCTGAGACAGACTAACCCTATGCATTGGTACAGCCTGGGAACTGACTGACTTGAGATGCAGCCCTGCTGAAGAGGATGCAGGGGTTACAGCAGACACAAAGTGGAATGGGAGCCAGCCCTGCATGCTGGTTGTAAATAAGGCAAACCACATAGTGGGCTATATTAGGAGGAGTATGGCCATCAGACTGAGGAAAGTCATCGTCCACTTCTACTTGGGGTTAGTGAAGCTGCATCTGCAAGTATGTGTGTAGTCTTGGTCCCCCCAGTGTAAGATGGCCACTGAGGAAGTGGAGTGAGGGCAGCAGAAGGCTATCAGGATAATTACAGAAATGACAAAGCTGAACTCTTCTCAGTAGTGACAGTAGTAACAAGGCGTAATGGCCACCAAAAAAACCCAAGGCATTTTTGATAGAAGGCAGTGCAGTAGTGGAACAGGGTAGCCAGATGTCCTGGTTTCAGCAGGGATAGAGTTAATTTCCTTCCTACTAGCTGGTACAGTGCTGTGCTTTGGATTTAGGGTGAGAACAATGTTGATAACACATGGAGTTTTTTAGTTGTTGCGAGGTAGTGTTTACACTAGTCAAGGACTTTTCAGTTTCTCATGCTCTACCGACTGAGAAGGCTGGAGGTGCACAAGAAGCTGGGAGGGGGCACAGCCAGGACAGCTGACCCCAACTGGCCAATGGGATATCCCATACCATGTGACATTCCATACCATGTGACATCATGCTCAGTATAAAAGCTGGGGGAAGAAGAAGGAAGGGGGGAATGTTTGGAGTGGTGCTGTTTGTCTTCCCAAGTCACTGTTACGCGTGAGGGAGCCCTGCTTTCCTGGAGATGGCTGAACACCTGCCTGCCGATGGGAAGTAGTGAATTAATTCCTTTGTTTTGCTTTGCTTGCGTGCGTGACTGTTGCTCTACCTATTAAACTGTTTTTATCTCAACCCACGGGTTTTCTCACTTTTACCCTTCCGATTCTCTCCCCCATCCCACTGGTGGGGGGGTGAGCGAGCGGCTGCGTGGTGCTCAGTTGCCAACTGGGGTTAAACCACGACACCAGAGAACTTGGAGAATGTGTTAATGGAGGTTTTCAAGACACGGTTACCTGACCCAATGTTGGTGATTAACCCCCTGCTCAAAGTGACACTAAGCTGTCCCCAGAATTTCCTCCAGAAGCATGTCTGTAACCCTCCTGGGTTTGAGTCCAGCTCTCTCGGAGTCATAGCTAGGAAGCTCTGCATCTTGTGCTGTCAGCAGTTCCCCACACTCACTGGGCCACCACAGTCAGAGCAGAGATCTGTCTGGTTCTAAAACTGGGACCGAACGTTGCATGCCTTAAAGATGAGCATCTGAAAGATTAATTTAGAGAGTTTGCTTTGTCTGCATCTATGCTATGTTGTTTAATCCAGGCTTAACCTAGCGAGGCTGCTGACCTGCAGTTATTATATCCACAGTCAGATACTGATCTCGTCTGAGGTGTATCAGGTTCCAGATGTGCTGAGAGAAAAAGTCCCATCTGCAACTCATTACTGAGTTGCTGTGACCAGTGCCCAAGTGGATTAAGAGTCCTCTTCTCAATCTGCATGAATTGTTTGACTCCAGCCACACACTGGAAACCACTATGTGAGGCCAGTTCTGGCAGTCAAGCACTGTTCTTCATGGAACAAATAGATGGGCACTCATGCCAGCTGAAAGTCATCGCAGTAGAGAGGCCGAGGACACTAAGACAGCCACATCCTTTCTGAAACTGGAATCTGGCTGTATGAGCTCATCTTTGCTGTGCTGTATTTGACCAAGACTGATTAAGCTGATTTGTTTGATTTCTCACCCTGGAGGAGCAGAACACTGTGACAGCAAAGGTGTCCTACAGCTTGCACTGGTCTCAGTTGTGATGTGGCAGCAAACACTACTGGTTCCTCCTGAGAGCAGAGGCTGCACTAGAGCTAAGCTGAGGAAAAGCAAAGATACAGTTCAAGTCTGTTGTCAGCAAACAACACTGATTTACAGCTAAGACTAGAACAACAGCAACGATTCTCACCCTCAGTTGAGTTTTCCAGATACAGACAGCAACTTCAGCTGTAGCCTGTCGGGGCTCAAGTGCATGGCTGCTCCTTCTTCCCTTCATAAAAGAGAAGGAAGGAACAGAGCAGAAGTAAAACTCTTGTAGAACTGGACTCTTAGCTGCATTGTCAAACAAGGTTTAACACAGCAAGCTGGTTTTCCCACTGAGGCTGCGAGCCTGGTTGGCAGGCATTATATGCAGATTTAGAAGTGTTGGGGAATAAGCTTAGAGTCTTACAAGCCAAAAATACTGTGTAGGCTTAAGGCATGGGCACTGAAATATTTTATACAAAGCAGAACAATTCTAATAGGGAAGATTTGAAGTTTGCTCATTCCCAAGTCCTATCATGACAGAAAGGGGATGCAGTCACAAACTGCCTCGAGCTGAGGACGGTCTGAGCACAGATCTTCTGTTTGATTGAATGCTCTGAACACTGGGACAGAAGCGGGGAATAAAGTTACATCTTCTGCAGCTTTACAGAGCTACCCTTTCATTTCCTTGTCTTTTTCGACATGTGCTCAGAAATGAAACATATCATTTTAGGTCAAATGGAAAATTTTGTTTTATATAGAAGGAACTGTTGGCTTTTGATGTGCAAAAAGAAAGGGTTTGTGTTTTGGTTTAATGCAAGCCAATACTTTTTTCCAATTTTTTAGTTTGACAACTCATTTTCTTTTAACAAGAGGGGCATGCTAAGAAAGGAACAGAAATTATAGAGAGGAAAAGGGTAGCCTATGTTAAAATACATTGACTGAACTTGACCTGTAGAATTGTATTCTGTGTCTGCTTGTGTCATGGAGTTTCTCAACAAGACACTTTGGGCACTATGCATGCTTATGAGCATGCATAAATGTATGCTCCTCAATTTTGGGAAGTCTGGTTTGAGACCTTGGATTCTAATTGATAGTGAGTACATACAACATATAATAGAATCTATAATAAAATACAATATATAATATATTATACAATATATACAATAATATAAAATAATACAGCATTAATATATAATGGTAGATAGTTTATAGATATAGTTTATACAACATGCAGACCTAGGACTATCACTTTGAAAGTATTTTATTATGGTATTATGATACACAATAGTTTATAGAATACTATGCCTTTAAAGCAAAACAAGAAACTTCAAGAAAAGCATATAGAATTATTGGATTGGACACCCAAAATTAGTGATTTAAAACAAAAATAAATCATTGTCTTTCAGTTCTTCAGTAGAATGTAGATAAGAATGCCCTTTATCCCTCTTTTTTTAATGAAAATAAATCAATATTTGTGAAGCGCTTATGTGCTATGATGATGTGAGCTTTTACAAAAGCCTGTCAGGAAATTATTAATTATGCCTTCAGAGCGGGGTTTGAATGGTATTCAGTAGATTAGACCTATGTCAAGCGACAAGGAGACAACAAAGCGGTCATTTAGTCAGCACTACTCAGCTAGAGCCCTGAATGAGGTAGAGGTCTTTTGATGATGTAATTACAGATTTAGCAAAATCGAGAGGCAAAAGCAGGCCTAATTAAAGTTGCACAGTAATGCTTAATTTCGGTATTTCTTAACTGCCCAAGGTGACTTGAGTCTATATCCCCTTCAAGACATCTTCCGTCAAACTAAGGAGAGAGAACCTCTCCCATCTGGGCTGCTGACATTCCTTAGAAATTACAAATTTGGGCATCTAGCTCCCATATGAGGAAAACTTAAGTACGTCTATAAAGTAGAAGACGAGAATCATCAAATGGTCTTAGGGTAGGTTAGTGGCTACATTGTTGATGTGGATGGTGTGGATTCGCATCCAAGGACTCCGGCAATAAAATTATCTGACACTCCACTAGTCTCCTTTTGTAACAGAACTGTCCCCTGAAAAGCAACTAGCAGCAAGTAGTCTCTTACAGTCTTCAGTCTCAGTGGAAAAGAGAACATACTGGAAAAGAACATCGCTGTTATTGCAATGTCAGTAAAAATACCAGATTTAACAGTAACAACAAAAGAGGAATCTGACTTAAAGGTAATGCTGTGAATGTTAGGATTGACTGAATCAAAGACACATTTGTGATCGGTTTCCACACAAAGATTTCAGTATCTGACAGTTTCATTAGAAGATTCCATTTGGATGGCTCTATACAATGCAAAAAAAAAAAAAAAAAAAAGAGTCATACACGTAGTTAGGAACCTGAAATGACTTTGATGTTTTTAATAGATAGTTGCCTGAGTACCCACTGCATGCTAATGAACTCATAATTATGATATGATGATTTTTCTTCTCACTGAATAACAGGACTTTGCTAACCTAAAGCAAGATGAAAATCAATAAAATCAGACTGGCTTTTCTCTGCATAATAGTCTCTTGTTTGTAAGCAAATGTGAGCCACTTGAATTATATTGAATTATTTAGGTATTTTGCCCATCTCACATTTGAACTTTTAGACCTATTTCTATTCACATTTGTTTACACGAACGGAGTTAGCTTTTAAAAAATGCATCAGTGATTTAATGGAATTAGTTATGTGTTGTTTCCAAAAAGTAAATGATAATGACATATACTCTCTGTAGTCAGCATTGGTCGAGTAGGAGGAGCTCACATGGTAGAGTTACACATGGTTAGAAAGGACAACAAGAAAATTGGTGGAGGTTTCATGGCATATTTGAAAACATGCTGTTGCATGATCTAAATGTGTTTTTCTTTAATTTCTTACAGGCTGTTTCCAGCTATGTAATGTTTTTCGGTCCCATGAGATGGAAATTGAGCAGTGCTTGCTAGAGTCCCTCCCTCTCGGCCAGAGGCAGCGGCTGGTGAAGCGGATGCGCTGTGACCAAATAAAGGCATATTACGAACGAGAAAAAGCTTTCCAGAAACGGGAGGGCTACGTGAAAAAACTGAAACATGGAAAGAATCATCGAGTTCGTTTTAATCTTGCTGATATGATACAGGATGCAATCATACGTCATGATGATAAAGAAGGTACTTAGTAATGGTTAACTACTTTTTTCTTTTTGTATAACTAAAAGTTTCAGAAGAAAAGCTTCCCTGTTTTGCTTACCTATCTTTAAGAAAAATACAATTTTACATGATAGTAATCATAAAGTGACTGTTGTAATAGAATATACAGGCATGTATTGCATACAACATATTGTAGCTTGTTACTGAAATGAATAAGGTGTGGAGAATAAACCTTCAGAAACCTAATGAATTTATTCTGAGGTTAATATATAGAATCACAGAATCATAGAATCATTAAGGTTGGAAAAGACCTCTAAGATCATCTAGTCCAAATGTCAACCCAACACCACCATGCCCACTAAACCATGTCCCTAAGCGCCTCATCTACCCGTCTTTTAAATACCTCCAGGGTTGGTGACTCAACCACTTCCCTGGGCAGCCTCTTCCAATGTTTAACCACTCTTTCAGTAAAGACATTTTTCCTCATGTCCAATCTAAACCTCCCCTGGTGCAACTTGAGGTCATTTCCTCTTGTCCTATCGCTTGTTACTTGGGAGAAGAGACCGACACCCACCTCGCTACAACCTCCTTTCAGGCAGTTGTAGAGAGCAATGAGGTCTCCCCTCAGCCTCCTTTTCTCCAGGCTAAACAGCCCCAGTTCCCTCAGCCGCTCCTCAGAAGACTTGTGCTCCAGACCCTTCACCAGCTTCATTGCCCTTCTCTGGACGCACTCCAGCACCTCAATGTCCTTCGTGTAGTGAGGGGCCCAAATATGTATAAACTAATGTATTTCAAAACCAGTAAGGACTATGATCATCATTACCTGTGGCCTCATATACCTATATGAGCCATAGAATTTAACACAAGTTACTTTGAAAATTAGTTTCTCAATTTTAGCAAAAATCTGGAGTAACGAATGCTGCTATTAGTGACACTGGCCTGGCTAGAGCAACGAGATGGTGTTGACCCATAGTCATACCAGATAGTGGGTCATCTTTCTGGTTCTGAAATGATGTTTATGTCCTTTTGAAATACATAACCACATTTTAGGGGTTCTACTTTTAGTTTCCTAGCATTGTTTGAATCCCTGGTGCAGCTGACAGTAATCTGAGGAATTTTGCAATTTACTCCTCAAAAGGGAACCAAACCTTGCAGTAAGGATCTCTCAAGTTTTAGAAGTCCCCAGGAATCCCTATACTGTTGTGTGGGAGGGATATAAGAAAAGAACTGATGCAATGCTTTTAGCAACCCCTTTGCAAACAGATTTTATGGCAGCTCTTTGTAATCACATTAGCACAAAACTTCCTGAATAAGGGGGAGGCTCTGAAATAGAGTCACATCACGCAAATGAATTGCAAGTTTCTCCTAATTTTTATCAGTTTGATTAGGTATGGGTTTTTTACTCACTCTTGAATCTTCATTTTAATGGGCATTTGCTCTATCATTGCTTATCACTGAGATATAGTCCTATACATTTAGATCTATACAGAAAATGAATCAAAGAGCTCTTCTCTTCCAGTGAGTGCCCAAGGCATCATTTATAACTAAGTTACAAATAAAATTCACAAGCTTTCATTCCATTCTCCTACTGTGGAAAAGTACAGGGATTATAAGTGAAGATCTTCCTCCATGTTCCCATAGCTCCCAGCTTTCTCTAAAACCCAAGCAGAATACTAGATATGACTTTTAGCATTCTGTAAAAGTCAGATACTTGAGGCTATTTTTGACATTTATGCTGAAGAAATGTAGCTTGCTCATTGGAGTGGTGATGGGGCATCAACAGTCTTTTGTGTTGCCCATACTTGGCCTTGAGCTGCACCTGAATCAGAGCAGAAAGTTCAGCAACTGCTGAGACTGAATAGCATGAGCATAAAGGGAAGATACCTCAGGCAGAGGAAAGTAAGATGGGGGAAAAACAGCGATGGTGTCCTGCACTTGAAACAGATAAAATAAGTCCCCAGAAGCAAGGAGCTTAAATAGCCTGCATAAACCCCAGTGGGACTAACAACACTATCCTGAATTTGATGCCTGTGGTCCTTTCACAGGACTATGAAAAAGTGTGATTGTTGTCTTTAAGCAGCTTGTGCAAGTGCCTGTCGTGATTTTAGCCAAATGTTCCCAGAGCCTGTTCACTTTGAGCTGAATAATGCTATACTAAGAACTGTTATCATGTGAGCCAATTTAAAAAAAAAATAAAAATTGAAGCTTATAGACATAAAAGCTGCTCTCCTACTATTGTTGCTGAGTGGAACATCCAACCGTGACTCTTCAGCAAATCTATCTACATTAGGATTTCAGTTCAAATTAGACATATGCTTTTGTAGTCAATATCATATCCATTTACTGTGTTTGGTCTTGCTTTATGGAGCATGCAAACTAGATTCATTTCAGACAAAACTGAACTGGAAGATGTGCTCTGGAAGCACACCTAGTGCCTCCAAACAGTAATGGGTTTTCAATCCATAAGGCCAGGCTAGACGTAGGCTGAAGAAATCCCGCTGAAACAGGTATAGCTGGGGAAGTTGGGCTTTTGGCACCACCTGTTTCTCTTGTCTATTTATTTATTTCAGTCATTCATTCAACATTCATCATTCATATTACACATCACTATTTACTAATGGGTATATACAGCCAGTAAGCTAATTGTGATGGATCCTGATAATTGCGTGGAGTATCCTCCACCTCACTGCAGCTTCACATCGGCCCTCCCCTTCACCGGGTCCTAAGGCGGGAGTGACTGCAATATAAGGCTGCAGATGGGAATGAGCACACATTTCCCGGCTCTTCAAATGTCAAACCATCTCTTCAGCTCCCTGCTTTTGGTGAAATGGCCTGGGGGACTGAGAAAGAGATTATAATACTGGGTCAAGCAAACAAAGGTGGGAGACAGGTTTTAACAGCCTGTCAGCCTTCCTTTCTTCCCGTAAATCCCTGTCTGGTCTCCAGGATCTGGCTTTTACTGCACAGTGTGCTCAGTAATCAACAGCATTCCCAAATGTGCTCAGTTTGAATATAGGGAACCAAATTCAGTAATAAGTATTTTAAAAATGCTTCTTTTCGGAAAAGCTGGGCATGGAACAAGAATTTTTAAAAAAATAGCTCAATCCAAGTAAGTAGCAGAGAAGTACCTTAACGTGAATTAGTAAGAATAATTTAATGACATAGAATAAAACCCCTTCTGCTTTATGAAGATAAGTTGTTATCCTGTGAAAGAATGGGATTCAGACTGATCTGAGTATGGTATATTTTGGAATAAATGCTGAAAGTAATCAAGATGAGAACTCAGCAAATCTTAAAAAAATCAGTTTTGTTTACTAAACATTACTAATTGGCAGCAGGGTATTTTAATGCAGTTTGAATGTTTTTACTTTTTCAGAGATAATTTTCAAACTAGACATTTTGTTTATAATGAGATATTTAATAACAAGTGTAAAGGTGTTACAACATATTCAGTACTGAAATAGCTTTAGTCGACTAAATTCTATCAGGCGACATCTTTCCTTGTGGGTAATTAATTTTGTGAGCTTGAAGTGCAATGGCTTTGAAGAGATGAATTCCACTCAAGGTATAATATAACTTGTCTGGCTGTGAATAAGCCTGATACTGCCATTCATACTGGCATACGAAGGGGTTCGAGCGGCTTCGGAAGCGATCGGCACTGAAGCACAGCGCCTCCTGGCACCCCGACTGAGAAGGCTGGAGGTGCACAAGAAGCTGGGAGGGGGCACAGCCAAACTGGCCCAAGGGACATTCCATACCATGTGACGTCATGTTCAGTACATAAACTGGGGGAAGCTGGCCGGGGGGGGGGCGCTGCGCGGGGGGGCGTATTATTATTATTATATTATTATTATTATCATTTTATTTCAATTATGTATGTGCAGACTGTGGTGTCCAAGAAGAGGACTGTGCAACCTGGATGTTTTAAATTAAATAACTGAATACACATAGAGTCAACTTTGTGATGAGAATGTATATGTTTTTGTACTGTTTTTGTACTGTTTTTGTGATCCTTGGGTTCAAAGTGCTTATAAGTCCTCAAGCTTCACAGCTTTCAGGGTGTGGGGTTTTTGTAAAATGAAATTGAAAATCTCAAGGCTAAAATTCTGACATTCATACAGTTTTCTTCCAGTTTTACCCTTGGAAGGGGGTATAAAACAACAGAATTATAAAAGAGTAGCCTCTTCCACAGAGAATTGCAGCTGGGCCTATTTTCTTCAATTTTTAGATGTATTTAGGAATTATTTGCAAATCTCAGGCTGTTAAAGGCTTTAGCCACGACTATGTGCTTCCTTCATTCTTTAAACTGAAGCACTACCAGTCTGTTTCACTGAGACTGTTAAGCAAAATCCTGCCTGTTGATGAATCCTGGAGTAGTTTTACTTGGTTTGAGGTCTGGTTGTAAAAATTTTATGTCAGTTACACATACTGATTAAGTAGAAAATGTGGATACATTGCAGGGAGCTCATGGAAGGGCAATAAAACCAGGAGAAATTATAGGGAGTGATTAAAAAGGAGGAGATGAAGACCTATGAGCATGATAAAGCAATGCTCATATCTGAACAGGTTTGAATGCAGCTGGTAATAATTCAGCAAGAAAGAACACCCGTTCTATAGGCATAAAAGACAGCTAGAGATGGATGTTTTTCAGTTCTATGAAGGGAATGCAAAAAGTGTAGTATACAAAGTAGAAAGAGGACACAACAGTAGAATAGGATAGAAGTAGCTTCCCAAGTGAAGTCTAGGGGCTCATTTCTTATGGAATATCGTAAACTATATAGACTGGGCAGCACATTTGGAAATGGTGAGAAGTAGTCTGGTTTGGTAGGCGAGATAAATTGGATATCATGAATATATATAAAGATGAATGTATAATGTGGCTAGTGCAGAGACATTTCACACCTGAGTCTGATCGGAATTTCACTCTTAAGTATTCATTGTCTTTGTTATTCATGAAGAATGCAATATATCTTCTCCAAAATTACTATAGCAGCTGCTACTGGGCTCAAAATGCATCTCTG